GGATTTGGATTGATTTAACTAGGCTGCCTGTGTTTTTCATTACATTTCCTCAGGCGTGCCAATATGTGATGTTGTTGGTCATCTACATTTGCTTGTCATCGTCATAAGTGTGTTGATTATTCCAGTTCTGTGGTCAGTCACTGAGAGGGTGGCAGGTGGCTCAGCTTATCATAGCACATACACACTTACACTCTCACACAAACACACACATGCTCACACTCTCACACAAACTTACAAACACAGTTTTGGAGGTGAAAGTTGGGAAGAGGTGTCCCCTGAGTTTGCGACTCTTTCTGTCTTTCACTCGGAATATGTGATTCAGTATTTGACGCAAGTCATTGGACTCAAAAAACATTATATTAAGTAGCCACCATTTTTGAGAGAACTTCATTTGCTATGAACTTAGTCTTTTTAGTTTGGTCCATGTCCCATTCACTAACACGTAGGAGGTGTGGTTTATGATCGTGCAATCGTGAATGGCTTCACTTTTGGGGAGCTTTCATGTCTTGCATCTTAATATACAGTCTGGGGACCAAAGACTGGGTAGGTTGTTGCTGATTTGCATCCTTACAATCAAAAAGGTGGTGAAATCTGAGATTAAAAGATAAATCATTTGATATTTTGAAAACTTCTTAGGGTTGTAAAATTCTGAAAGTGACTATGACAGTATTACAGCATTAATTACTCACTTTTTGTGTATTTTTTAAAATATCTGATAAGCTTTAGAAAATGGTACCTCCTGGGTACCATTGATCTATGAGCTCCAAGCTCATAGATCTTTTACTTAAATGGATTTCCTGCATCATTTAGTCTGAATCCTTACTTAGCCATTTGTGTGGTTTACAGGCAGAAATATTTAGCATGGTCTATCATGGCTCCAGTATGCTTTAGAAGCACATGTGTTTTGTGTGTCTTTGTGGTCTTGATGAAATGCATAATTGGGACATAAGGGCGCACACTTTAGGACAATCTCTGCCTTGAGGTATTTGTGGTCTCGTACATAGTCGTACAAATGAATAAACAGATGCAGATCTTGTTTATGCTGAGTGCAAACTTTTAGGGCAAAGGTGGGTACAACAGCAAGGTCACCTTATTATAGCCTCAAGCTAACCCTTATACAACCTTGTTGTGATTCCCTTTCATTTAAATTTGACTGCAGCACCCTCGTTACAGATAAACAAATGTCTTTCAGATCCTGTGCAATAAAAATCTGGCCTGTGGCCCTGGAATGCCCCATTCGGTCCTGCTGTAAAGGAGTAGCAGTTTTCACTACTTCCTGGCGGGTTTTGCAAATGCTAAGTACTGTATGTGTTTGATCTGCGCTTTGACATTTCCCTTTCTTTTTTTCATTTACTGCCGCTAGTAAAGGGGCATTACAACCTTCATGGGGAGCCAGCCGTGCACCTTGGAAGGATTAAGAAGCTGTTTTGTTTTATTTTCCAGGGATTAAAACGCAGTGTAAAATAGCTGTTTGGGTTGCATGTGCATACGTACATCCACATAAATGCATACACATGGGCACAGAATTATTCATCCAATCAAAACACTGTTACACACACAGAGACACACACATCTAGTTTCCTCTAGTTATGTTTTCACAAATATTTAGTAGTGGTAATATGTAGTGGCAGCAGTCGTAAAAAAGGAAGTCATTTGTGAGGGTGGCAGCAAAGATGACAAAAACCAGCATCATTATATTAATTCTTTAGTAGTATTTTATCAATTAAAACAAATCAGAATCAGTTTCAATCAATCATCTGTTACCGTAGATGAGTGTCTGTCTCCTACCAACATGTTTCAGAAACCTTGACCATACAGTTTTAATCACTTAAGCACTCATGTAAATTGTTATTGTATCAGACAAGTGGAGCATTGTGTTGTGTCTAGTTTAAAAGCCAGCAGTCCTCCCGATTTTGAGGATCAGGAGTAAGAGGCACTGTTGCAAGACAATCCAGACGTCCTGTGAAATCAAATTTGCGGGGAACAGGCAGCTCAATGTTTCTCCCATTAATTATGTAATGACTTTAGCTATTTGCATTGTTTTAAGTTATAGCCATTGTCGGGAAATTGAAGTTGATTTGAGATCCACTTTAATTACAACAGAACAACATTAAAGCACCATTAATTGAATTTCTCTTTTTTTTGACCACTTGAAGGCAGCAGAACAAGCTCTCAGCACAACACGGACATGCTTGTAAAATTGTTATAACCTCATAAAGTTGTTATGACAAACAAGCCAGCAGTTGCTTATTTACATAACCAGCAGACTCAGTTCACTATTAGCATTCAACTGAAGCTGTGCTTTTAACTCAACTTTGGTCTCCCCTGATGCCTTGCTTTGCTTCTAAATGATCCACCTATTAACCAGTTAGATGCTAACTTTGGCTGCCTCCTGTATGGTGCGGATTAGGGTTGGGTGAAATGCTAAAATTTTCCAGTCTGCCACCATCAGGCCAACAACTGTAGATTGAGAACATGGGCATGCACATGGAAGAATATTTGATTCTTTTTTTTTGTGCCATTCAGCTACAACAAAAATACACATAATATAGCACAACTCTTAGGCCCTGTTCAGACTTAGTATTAACAACCGTCCTGAGAGATCTGACCACAAGTGGACAGCATTAAATTTGTGGTATTAAAATGCATCACGAATGTGTTCATAAAGGTCAAATCATCTTGTCTTTTAACCAGCAATACAGATGCATCCAATGACACTGTGTACATATGTGTTAATGCGTGTGTCAGTGTGTTTGTGAATGTGTATATATATATTATATTAATAATAATAAATGCCAGTTCTTAGGTTTATAAATTATACATTAGAATGAATTTCCGAGTATTCAGACCATTGTATTAGCAAAATAAAATAGAAAATCACCCAGAAAATCAGCCATAAAACAATCAACAATAGACAAGATTTTTCATCCAGTCGTCCAACCTTAGTGAGGAGTGGATAGCGTACAGTCAGTATTTCAGCTTTGAGAGTGAATCAGTTTTGAGACTTGAATCCAAAACAATGAGCAGAGAGATGCTGAAATTATTCATAAAGCTGAGAGGAACTGCAACCTAACTTTATCCTTTAGGTATCTAGTCTACCACATACAACTCCTCCACTATATCTCTCTTTATTTCCTTCTCTTTATAGCTCTTTTTATTGTCCGATTGACCCACTAATGTGCTTTGCCAGCCGAGCAACAACCCCAGTGCAGCTAAAACCAGATTATTCCAGTTCTCTGTGGTCAGTCACGGAGGGAGAGGGAGAGGGTGGCGGGTGGCTCAGCTTATCATAGCACATACACACTTACACTCTCTCACACAAAAACATACACATACACACTTACACACAGAAACACAGTTTCAAAGTGGAGAGTCAGGCAGGAGGTGTCCCCTGAGTTTCTTTCTCTGTTTCACTGTGAAATCGAGAGCTCAGCTGAGGGGCAAAATGTTCACTACTCATTGATAGCCACAGTGTCAACAAACATGACAGAGAAGTTGCAGGGGGTGCCTGTGATAATGGAGTGAGAGAGTAAGAAGATAAGTGAAGAGGGGAAATGGAGAAAGAAAAAGGAGGGCAGATAGTGACGCAAAAAATGAAACAAAGGCCAAAACACAACAAAAAAGACAAAAATGAGATGGACTTTAAAAGAGAGACAGAGATACGATCAAGCCAAAGAAATTCAAAGTAAAAAATTATGAGGCTTATGAATGAGATTAGAAGGAAGACAGGACGTGTTGAAAGGAAGGTAAAGTTCATGAAAGAAAAAGGGGACAAAAGAGCAGGACAAACAAATGAGTACACAATAAGACAGTAGGTAGAAGGATGACAAAAGAGGAGCCTGAGGACTTGGAGGTAAACAAGAGAAGAGGATAGGAAAGAGACACTGAGATGAAATTGGAGAACTGAGAGCGGTATAGTAACCCAAGTGTGTGTTAGGGCTGGACAGCAGGGTGGTACTACGACAGGGTCATGACCTTGATTGTGTAACCACTGCAATCCAAAGCATGTTCTGTGGGGCAGAATTGATTGGATCAGATACCCGCACTACTGTGATCAGATCAGCAGACGGTTCTACACTCCTCAGGAGCAGGACTAATGCCTGTCAGTACACCAGAATGAGACACGGTGTGCAACTAAGAGTCCACAACCTCCCATGTAGCAGATGCAGGACATGAGATGAGTCCTGAGATTAGAAAAACACTGGAAAGGCTGTGATATGATACTCTCTCTGAGGGCACATCACAGTGTTTAGTTATGTTAGCTCCTTTTTTTCAACATGCAGTACAGAGATCTGGATCTTTTTTGACCTATGTACAAAAATAAACAGATAATTCAGACATACACTGTACACACTAAGAAAAAGCAGATGTAATGCATAAGCAAACCATATGTTATGTGATAACGTTGTTGAATATGGTGATGACGATATGACTTAAATAAATAAATAAACAGTCCCTGGCTACAGACATAGACCATGATCAGCTCCACAGCTGGGACAAACATTTTCACTAGAAGTTTTCACATAGAATTTAGTCGGAGGAGGCGGAGCGAGATTTGACGGAGATGCCTCGCAGTTCTCTCTCTATTGTCTTCTTCCGACAATGATTTATTGATGGAAAAACCCATTAATGATCTGAATATATTTAATTTATCAACTAGGGCAGCATGGCTCCATCTGATTGGCCAAATATTCAGAGTGGGAATGCAGTTTAAACCATCTTTTGTGATACAGATATCGTACACATTAATATTGCAATGATGATACATTGTCGATATATATCGTGCAGCCCTATTCTCCACCATAATCATCAGAGCACAGAAGAGTTCCACAACTTTGGAAAACATAGGACATGGAACATTTAAGTTGTTCTGGTAGCTTATGATGGACCAACACCTTAGTGACTTTCTATGTTGGCTAGTTCATTCAATTTGTCACCAAAAGGCCCACACTCCTTTATAAGAACCATTGTTTGAGAAGTCAAAGAGAAAGCAGACTCACCCTGTCCGTTGGAATAGTAGATCCACTTCTCTTTGACCTGCATTGGAGGCTGAGATGGTTTCTTCTGAATCGCCTTCTCCATGATGCTACTGGGATCCTGCACTGGGCCCTTCTTCAGCACCCGAGAGCTCCGCTTCACGCTACACACCACAATTACAACCAAAACCAGCAGCAGGAGCAGCACGATCATCCAGGGCAGGTGTTCATTGATGTCAAAGTGATTTTGAGTACTTGGCCTTGGGGACCCCCTACGAGTGGGTCTGTAGTAGCTGGAGACACCTCCGCCACCTCCACTCCCTTGATCCGCAACCTTGCTGATACCTGTCCCAACTGGGACTACCTCTGCAACCTCCAGACCGTCCATTGCCTGCTTGTTAGGCCCTGGCACAGGGTCAGAATTGGGTTGCCCCCTCGGTTGCTCACTATTCATTGGTTGCTTTTGAGCTGGGGGCGGTAGAGTCCTTGAGGGATCACTGTTTGGTGGGATGGGATTGCCGGGGCGACCAAGCCCCTCTGTACGGAGGTTTTTCCATCCCGGGCTTTCCCTCAGTGGCATAGGTGCTGACAGGCTGTAGATGCCTGTGATAAAAGAGACAGAGAAATTGATGGAGACAAAGATAGAACAAACAAGATGAGGAGGTATGAAAGACCACAAAGAAATAAGTATATAGGTAAGAGATGAGAGACACACAGAGAGGGAATACACTTCACTCACTCAAGAGATTAGCTTAACCCATATAATGAAAACAGGAGGCATCAGGGGAGGGGATACTAACACTATAATCTGGCCCACAAACGGAAGAAGTAATAACCTCATCTTGTGCTCTAAATCAACTGGTTCCTTGGGTGGGCAGTTTATTTTCCAAAGTAGAGTCAGTCCAATTCTGGAGTTCAATAACATCAGCCTTTTCTTAACATAGATAGATAGATTTTCCCTTAAATGTGGTTATGAATGAATTCTGAGACTGCTAAAGGAATGCCCTATGCAGCCCAGACCACCTCAGAATGAGGTCTGAGGGATCGGATGTGTCCTTAATGCATCTTGGGTGCATTCACACCTGCACTTGGAGCTCTCTGCTTGGGCTACATTAAGATAATTGATTTTCATGTTTTTCATCCAACCCTTAGCAGATCAAGAGGGAGCCATTGAGAATATATGTGTTGCTTAGATTCCTCCGAACACAAGTGCCATAAGGTTTCGGGGGGTTCGGAAATGGAAACATTTCTAATGCACATTTTTGTCGCTAAAAATGTTTTGATTTTGAAGGAGGTAAGTCTTCCAGCATTTTTAAAAAAGACAGACAATTATCTGCTTTTCCTCCTCCTGCCATGTTCTACCCCAGCAAGTTGCTCACCCCACAGTGCATTCCTGAATTCAGGTTAAGCAAGGGCCATTACAATCAGACTCAGGCATCAAGTGAAGGACTAATTAAAAAAGCAAAAACATAGAGGTGAGAGGGAGCTTGGTTAACGATTTACAGACAAATAAATCTTTAGGAAAAGAACACTGAGGTTTGACATAAACTTTAGCAGACATGTAATGAGCAGTCGATATAAGCAGCGAAATTCATCTCTATTGATTATAGATGTGGCTTAGTGCTTGTACTGGTGTAGTATAATGACATTAGGTCATAAATGATCTGCTGAATGTTTTTCGGATTTTCTCCTGGATGTGTGTTAATCCGTGTAATCCTTTTATCAGCAGGCAGGTGCACAAACTAGTCTAATCCCCAAATTAAAGTCTGTAATTGCCTTTATCTAAATATCTTGAATGAAGGTCAAACTGAGATAGGGTGTGAGTCGTGAAACTTTGAAAGTGAAAATTTCACTTTTCCAATTCGCAGGGACATAGAACATGGAGCAGGGTGCTATATGGCCAGTGTTTGGCAGTCACCAAAAAGATTCGTTTACTAAAATGTTACATTAATGTGATTATTTTTCTTAGTAACAAGGATTATAAGGGATTACAGTTACTAGAGTTACTACATTACCGTTACTAATTCCAATAAAGCTTAGATACTTTAATATTACGTCAGCTTGTTTGGTAAGTTACTGACAGTAGGGTGGTAATATTTTTATTTCAGCATCAGCATTTCAGTAAGAATCACTGAATAATAATCTACATGCTGCCATAATATAATTTGCACACAGTACAATTTATTCCCTGATCCTCTTCCTCCCTTCACATGGTGGTCGTCCCCATTCTCCGCTAGTTAAACAGGTGAAAAATAACAGCCATGAGTACAGTATGTAACAGTTGCCCACCCCCACTTTCCCTCTTACAGCACAGACGAGGTCAAATTGACTGGCCGGGAAGCCATCGATCCCCTGCCAGCACAAACAGCAGTGACAGTATTATAGGTGTCAGTGATGGGAGGAGGGGTACATGGATGGTTGATTCTGAGTAATGACCGGCATGACTGACTCAGACAAGAATGACGTAAAAACGGTAAGAGATGACGAAGGAGGGAGGAGGGCAGACAACAAGAAGACAAAGGGGAGAGGGAGGTATTTGTCACTTTCTCCGATCTAAACTGAAGGAAGGAGGGTGGGGGTGGTGGAAAAGAAGGCTCACAAAGGAAGAAAGAAATACCCATAACTCCTCCGAACCGCAAGTAGTAGCATTCCTGAGATAAGGAGCTGCTACCACTTTGTTTCCCTGCCAACAAACGCCCTTCACTTTGTGTATAATCCCAGGAAACTTTGTAATAATGATACAACAGAAACTTCACACAACCGATTGTACCCAGTGTACAAAAAAACCCTAGCACAGTGGTGGTGTTTCTGTGCTCTTCAAGACATCATAGCTTCACAATTAGAGCTTCCGCCTGGGTCCCATTATACTTAGCGGCTGATCGGACCAATAATTGAGACTACTGCACTGTCGTTTGACCAGGGAATAAAATGATCTGACCTGTTCACATTGAAGACATTGTCTAGAATGAAAAGGACATTTTTCAGAGGTCTTTTTATTGAGGAACCGCCGTGCACTAACATGCATGAGCAGCTTGACCATCTACCACATCAAAGAACACAGAAGCTCGGATTACAACACACATACGTGAGACTTCATTCTCTGCTCAAGACGTCATTACTTCAGTATCATTTTTATTGAAAATAGTTGCTTGCTGCTACATTTATGTTCAAATCTTTTATCCATATTCTAAATAAAGTATGACACTGGTGCATGGAGCCAATTCGCCTCATTTAAATTGAAGATTGGAAGAAGATGGATACAATATGCTCTAAATGTCTATATTACAAAAATAATAAATATCTATATCACAAATTTTAGTGCAGATTAAATAAATAAGATGTAATGTACAAATCAGTGCACTTTAATTAGTTTTGAGCCAAAAACTAAGCCGAGCTAGCACTTTCCCAATGCTACTACTCTTTATGCTAAGCTAGGCTAATCGCTTGCCATATTCTCACATGCAGAAGACGGAGAATGTTGACCTATGGAGCTGATAGTGTTGAAATGAATGAACAAAGTACATTCATAATGAGGTTAGCTCAATTCATTACATTTCGGAATCGTATTCCAAAGCCCCTGTCTGAAAATTACTCTAAAAATACATATGACACAAATAACTATATGAAAATAATTATAAAGTGACATTAACTATATGGGATATAAAGAAGACTAATCTACTTGTTCTCACCTTCATGTGCAGGTCCATTCAGTGAGGATGATGGAGAAAATGATGAAGTTTGGCGTTCAGGCACATCCTGTGAAGGCCCACGTGAGGTGATTGTCGATGAAGACGAAGAGGAGGATAGGGCTGAAGTGGAGGGGCCACAAACATTATCTGTCTCTCTGGTCCCTGGGGTGAGCAGCACCAGCCCCTGGGCTTGGCAGTCTGTGTGGGTTCGGCACTTCACCAAACTCGAACGCATATCTGAAAAAGTCCCCTTGGTGCATGGTTTACAGACCACATCCTCTGTTGCGCTACCTCGTTTTTTCACCCTTGTCCCCGAAGGGCAAAGTGAGTGGGGCTTACACTCTGCGCCACTTTCCACTGACAAGAAGCTGTTGGGTGGACAAGTGCAGGTACGGTCCTGGATGGCCGTGCAGCTTGCTTTCTCAACAAAGCCTTTGGGGCACGGAGCGCGGCAGCGATGGCATTGCTGGACTCCATTTTCGCCCCGCGTGAAGGCGCCTTCAGGACACGGGCTGCACTCCCTCACAGCTGTGGGGGAGCAGTGTAAGGACACATAGGTGCCTGCCGGGCACTTGTCGCAGACCAGCTGGGTGCCTGAGCTGGGGTCGGTATGCTGGTAGTGGCGGGGAGAGAGCACGAGCTGGTCAGCTGGGCTTGTTGTGGTCACAGCCCTCGCTGAGATGTCAATCACCACTGTATATAAGAGCTGAGAGGAGAAGAGAAGGAAACATTAGAAATAGTAAGAACTTAAAGACAAACTGGGCACAAACACTTCTTACTGGCTGTCACAAGAAGCGGCTGAAGCAAGGAATACTGCCTGATTTCTTAGAGCAGGGGTCACTAGCAATGTTCAATGAACTAGTTTTCTCAACATTGTTCACTGTGGCACCAACTTCGTTTCATAGAAGACTAAAGATACTGTATCTTTCTCTTGCCTGGACACCACCACAGCCAGAGGGACCAAGAGCGCAACCTCACTGAGGCCCATGTTCTCCCTATTTACCCATAGTAATGTTTGAGGTTGAGTTTATACACAGCTAGTCACAAATTAACACACACACAAAACTAAAGCATGACATCATCTAATCTAAAAGGGTTTCCTGACCAACAGTGAGTCAGCAAGCCTTACACACCGAGGCAAATGTGGAGTCACCAAATTCACAGCCGGGCAGACAAATGCAAGTGTGTCATGTTACAATGTTTCCGGTAGGTCACATTTTCAACACTCCCCATGCGGTCGTTTAGTATGAAGCTGCTTTGATGTGATTTATGGGAGAATTTCCTCCTTCAGAGCCCCACTTAACCCAATATAATTTAATTTACTCAATCGCCTGACTCACCCTGTCCATAAAGGTTAAATGCCCAACAGTATGCAATCACTACAACCACAACTAAGAATTGAACATATGTTGGCTTTCTATAACCTCCCCGCTCACCTCTGCTGGGAAGCCAACATCTCACTGGGTTTAGGGGAATAGGCCACACATGCATAACTTCACTCACACACACACAGACTTTGTGAGTCACGCCAGGACTCATTATAATGGCAAGTTTCTAATTCTTTATTCCTCCTGCTTCACAATTACTTTCGATATTAAAAATGAGTTTGTCCACTGCAATGTGTGAAGGTAAATGTAACTGTAATATTGTGGTTTTAATGGCTAGATCACAAATACACTGTATGCAGTGGTTTGGCAATAAGATCAAATCAAAACAATATTGCAAATATTTTTAGGATCATAATGCAACATTTGAAACAGCCTATTGCTAAATTTTATATAACATTAGATGTATTATTCACCAATCTCCTGGAATTCTCAAATTCTGGATTTCAAGATTGTTGAAATGAAGTGGAACTATGGACAGCACAGGAACGTTTTGTAGGAGCAGTTTTCTCTGGCCATGAGGCTGCAGGTCGAGTTTCATTGGCCGTGGTCTTCTTTGTATAGGCTGCAAAGGCTGAATCGAAATAACATGGTCTAGTCTATAGAGAATTTCCATTATCTGCGTCACCATCTTGTCCCAGCCTTGTTGCTGTCACCTAGCAAGACAGTTGCAGTTGGACATGAGTAGTTTTATGACCCTTGGTTTTGGTCAGCCTTCGGAATGGGACAGTCTAGTCCTGACGCTGTGATGCAATTGATCTTAAAATGCAGCCCCTATTGAGATACACACCATAGCTGTGTCTCAATTCAGGGGCTGCATCCTGCGGAGGACCCGGTCTACGCAGACAGTCTGGTCTTTCTATTGCCTCACTAGCTTGTCCCCAAAAGTGCCAATGTCCTGTGCACTCTAGGGTCGAGCAGGTATTCTGCTTTGTCTCTCAGCCAAGTCACAGGAAAGCATTTAGCTCCATGTTTGCCAGTCTTACACAGAGGGCGGCTTGAGTCTTGACTACAGAAGAAGTATCAGTGAAATCTGATATGTGGAATTGTGGTGTAATTCTTCTACCGAACAAAACACAAAACTCTCAGGGTCAGATCCATGTCACAAATCCTGTTTGCTTTGTTCTGATGTATCAAAATGATTTGTAATTCCTGGTTTGAATGAAATAAGCATGACATACAAAACTCATAATTAGAGTCAAAGGAAGACAAACTCTAATAAAGATAAAGCTGCCCATTCTTCTTGCACTCCATTGTCCTTTCACCACACCACCAATTTGTCTCTTTGTGTTCATTCTCAGAACCTCATCCATAAACATCAGACCATGTTCTCCACGTGCTGTTCATAATCAGTCACTATCAATGCATTCATTCACATCAAGGTTCAAAGTGAAAACGTTGGTGGGAGGTGCCCACAGCACTAAATGGGAACATTCTGCTTGTTATAGGACAATGGATGGTGCCCCTGTGGCTCTCTCTGCTTGTTTGTAAATTTTTATGCCCTGAACTTCACCGCACTATTTAATGTGAGGATCAGGAAGGGAAGTTATGCTGTATTAAAAAAGAAACATTTCATACCTTTACCCATGGCACGGGTTTAGTTTTTTCTCGAGAAACAGGCTCATGAAAATATATCACGCAGCTGCTAACAGTCAACAAAAAATGAGCTTCATAATGAATGCTATTGGTTTAACAAAATGATCCCTCAGTCTCAAGCTGGACACATGCACCTGTCTGTGACAGGACCATGTTTGCCAATATATTAGCAAAACATTTACTCTAGTGGGAATCAGTTACCAAACAAGTCAGACCAGCGTCCACCTTCTGAACAATGCAAACTAAACACCAAAGAATGGTATGAATGTTCAAATGATTGTTCTACATACAGATGAAATGGTAATGATGATGATGATCGCCTTACAATAGGCTACAATATCATATTAGTCAAAGCACAGTGAATGATCATTTTTAGCATTTATTTGAGCCATATAACTAGTTAAATATACGTCTTAGCCATATAGTTTTAACCATGAAGTGACTTAGTCATATGTCAATTAGCCCATGGTAAAGCTAGTAAAGGGTGTTAAGTTACTCTAATGAGAAACACTACTGTTTAGAACTTTGTTCAGTGATGAAATTGTTAACAAAACAAGATGAACACAAGTCATAATGTTGGTTAAACATTAAGCTAAAGTTATCTTAAAGTTTAGGTATCACAAGCTCCTCATTTAACCAATAGTCTCCATGAAATTGGAGTTTAAAGTCACATATTGACCAGGTGGACCAAGAAAATCCTAAACAGATGCGTGGATATTACATTATTGATCAATGATTTCTTTTGCACTGAGATACTGAAGTCACATGCTGCCTTAACTGTTCATTTGTCCAACGGTATATGTTGTTATGTTTAATGTCAGTCTGGTAATATTTTCCACAAATTAAGAGCTGTATACACCAAGCTTACATGTGCTATAGCTCATAGAAGAAAAACAACCGAAAGAGCGAACGCACCTTCACCAATCTTCATCTGAGCTTGTGATGAAGCTAGTCCGGGCACAGGCTGACCTCTGATGACCTGTCTCTGTCTGCAGCTAAGGTTTTAAGCCAATGAAGATAATTACTGCAACGGCTGCTATTCGGCATGTCAGGGAAGCAGTGCGGTAAGATAATGGAAAGAAAACAGACGCTCACAGCTGGTCAGAGTGTGTGTCTTTCAGTGGCAATGCAAGCAAACACAAATACACAATCCTCACTGTGTCACTGCATTTCCTATTTGCCTTTGGATAACAGACACTGTCTGGAGCCACCGCAGAGCCATTTCAGATCAGCAATGCATGAGTCCATTTCGGTGTAAGTGCTGCCAGCTTTCCTCTTTATTATGCCAGCATTGTCTCTGAATCTTGCCGCACTGCCCATAAAACCGAGTTCTACCAGCCACTGTGCAGCCTGAACCGGTGACTAGGAGACATTGGTGCAGCAACAGGGATGAGAACCTGTGCACCCCTAGCAGACACATGGTACAAGGTGTGTTATGTTTTTTTACAAATGCAGATCAGTGTTTGTTTGATGCCTTCTAGATTAAGATTGGGCTTGGAGACAGCAAACTAGGGGTCCAGAGTTTGAAACACGTGGTAATCTCAAGACATATATGTTGCTTGAGGGACAAAAAAATCTGTCTTTGAATAAATGTACCACTGTAGCACCCCTGTGATACTGTTTTGTCTGTGTACTTTCTTGAATGTGAGGTGAATTCAGGTATTCTATTGCTTTTCTACTTAGTAGCTGTCTGTTGTGTGTCCATACATCAAAAATTTAATTCTAACAGAACCATCTATGTTTTGTCAGCACGTCAAGCTAGCTAGCTCAGACAGAATTGTCATTAAAAATCAAACCCCCAAACAACTGAGCCCGAAAGGTTGTTCTCCTCTGAGAGCTTGTGGGTGATCTTTTCTTATTAGTCTCAATCCAATATATATATGTACATTTGTGATGATACAATCTTCATGAGAGAGAACTGAACTGCTAATTTGTATTATATATTATGTATTAACATTGTTTGCAGCTATAATGTCCTTGCAATACAGGCAGTGTTTATCTAAAGTGGGCCTTGAAAGTAATTTGCTTGACGTGTACTTGTTTAATCGCACCATACCTGTTATTGTTCACAGAGATGCTAACAGATGTTAACTTGTGCTGAACCTTTGTGGTCTCTGCTACAAAACTATCGAACTCCGTAGCACCAGTGGGTTGCGTACACGCCTGCATCCACTTGGGCGGAGACACAATATTATGTTGCATTGTAGAAAATGAAATGGCACATAGTAATATATTTTAAAACATTACAAAACTGCAAAAAAGGAAGATGTCTTGCCCTCTGCTGCTCTAATTTTAATCATTCTTTAAATAGACAAATGTGCCTTATTTGCTACTTCTACTTTATATTGATCAATGTGCATCCTGTTGAATGGATGCAGCTATAGATGCTGTTTAGTAACTAATTTACACATTGCTAATGGATCATTATACAACCCCTATGTTGTTAGTGGTACCAACTGAACCTTGAATTTCTGAGTAATTTACAAAATCAATAACGATACATCTATGAATGATGAGGATTTCATTTAGTGGATTTCATCTTTCAGTGTGTGTGTGTGTGTGTGTGTGTGTGTGTGTGTGTGTATGTTGATCACTGTGACGGAGTAAAGAAGCAGATCACAGGGTAAAGGAAAAGATCTGATGGTGGAGTCCTTGGGTGGTCAGACAGCTCTTGTTTACACACAGGCAACAGAGTGGCACCACTGCACCACTGCAGGGCAGGTTCTTGTTGCTGAGCACACCCACCCACAACACAACACACACACACACATTCAATGAAACAAACACCTCACCCCCGTCAACTCTGTGACTCTGGGCAAAATAGCCTGTAATTCTACCTCCAGCAGCAGCGAGCAGGTCGGTCCAGAGACACAGCACCGATTGAACTTATAGGCCACAAACAGCAATGCCTGAACCTCCTTGTTTTTGTCTGTGAGCATTTTGTTTAGATCGTACAAAAATATATTTGACATCACTCACACTTTTTCAAGTGTTGAAAATATTTTGACCAAAGCCTGGGTAGAGCTGAGGTGGGTGAATGAGCAGCAACCACTGTAACTGAACGTGGCAGGCTGAGAAACCTGGAGTTGCATTATGGGAAATGTAGAATCCAGACTTAACCCTCAGAATATCTTTGATTTGGATTAAGTGCAATACTAAAGAGCTGGAATGTCCCTTTATAGTGGTTTTGTATTGTGCTTTAACACCCAGCCAGAGTGATTGCAGCTTGGGTTCTATTAGTGCTGTTGTTGTTCTGTGAAATTAAACCACATTTCCCATAAAAGCCCTTCCACTAACAAAGAGATGGCTGCTTTTTTCTTTTCTCTTATACAAGAAGATATCTGAACCGTTTTATTGGAGTTGTTTACAAAGTATTTGCTGCTGTTAACCTGCTGCTATATTTTATAAATTTGATTATATGATTACAGTTTATACAAAAGTAATTAGTTTGATAAATTATTCTGTGCTCAGCACTAAAGTTTTGGCCCGGAGCGATCAGCAGTGATTGCCACACAAAGGGCAAATGAAACTTGCTATAACTAGCAGAAGCACTTTAGATTGTTTTTACATTTCTTAGCAACATCCTAAAATAAGTGGTTAACATGCACGTGGCAAGACAGGCTGCATGCCACCACATATAACCTGTCAACAACCAGACACAGCTGTCTGTCTGAAGGACTTATGACCGACATGGCAACACAAACTGAACTCATCCTGTGACAAGACATGTGATCAATGCTTAGCAACAAACTTAACCACGGAGCAGGAAGTGGACTGATGCCTAACAGGAGTATGAGATGGCTCTGTGTGTGTGTGTGTGTTAGTGTGTGTGTGTGTTGAAACACATGTGTTACATAAAGGGGTGTGTGTATACAAACATTTGGTTGTGGGTGGGATGTTTGTGTGTGTGTGTTGCAGAAGACGGTAAACCGTAATTACTATCCAATTAAACTAGGGCTTACTATAAACACACACACAGACATGCATAGACTTGCAGACCTCACAAAATACACACATGCACTCTTATTTGCACTTTTCCCCACCCCCCTACACAAATACACACACATGTCCACCCACATGCCTGGCAGCACAGTGGCACCTGTTGCTGTATGTCTTTGTCTCTTCCTCATTTCAGCTCACAGAGAGAGACTGTTTGGATTCAGTCGCGCTGAATTTATCAATAACAATAGGCAGCGATGGTTATTTGTGTAGAGGTTAATGACTGAGGCAGGGAGCACCAGGAGGACGTGTATTTGTAAAGTGAGTGTATCTCACATTAAAGCAAGTTTTGTTGTATTCAAAATGTTTAAAGCAAAAACTGTACATACATTAAAATAAAACTGTCAAAGCTCAAAGTTTTACACAAACACATGACCAGAACCTGATCTGTAAACCTGTGTTCTTTTGGGACTCCTACGGTTTGGGTCTGGAAGCACGATTTAGGACGCTCATATTGTCCAAAAACAGATGCATACCATTTGACTATATACTCTATTGGGTGTTTACAAAGGCAGACGTGTTCACACAACATATATTTGCATTCAGAGTTGCACTAACAACGTATGTGTGTCGTAAACACAACAACCTTGTTATAAATTAAAGTGAAATGAATCTGCACATGCCAAAGCTCTCTGCACAGTAATCACCCTGAGGAAATGTTTTGTTGATGCAGCGACAGTTTGACAACAAATTCAAATCCATTTTGAAGACATCCACTTTTTTATTCCATTATTTTGTCTTAATGCCAAAAACAAAGCAAACCATTAAAATTCCACTAAAAGGTCCTTCAAGTGAATTTGACGCACGACACTGAGCATCCTGATTGGGCGTCAACAGGCAGACTTCCCCCTCTGTTTACTTAAGTCACACTCGATTATAGCTCTTCCTGCTTTGTGAGGAGACAAAGGGACAGGCTTTGTGCCTGAGTCCATCTGACTCACATAGGATGGTGAGACCTTGATCTCCAGCAGCTACTGACACCTCTATGATCTGCATGTCAGCACAGAGCATAGTGACCACACTGGCATGAAAACCTCCATCCATCATCGACACTTAATGATGATAAAATAATATAGAAAAATAAAACAATGCATAAACATCTGACATAATAATAAGGAAATATGTATTTTCCATTAACAAAAAGAAACATGTGCCTCAGGATTTGATTTCTCATTTATCTAACTAAACTAAATGCATCTTAATTATGTTCTTCCACTTGCTTGTTCACTTGTGAAATCAAACCCTGTGTTTGTTGTGATACAGTCTCCAGATAAGAATCTGCATTGACTGACATTCCCAGTTGTTCACAGGGTAAACAATAGGCTGCTGAGTGCATCTCTTTCTCCATCCTTCCACTGGAGACTCTTTTGTGCTGCTCACCCACAGAGGAATGAATTATCCCAATGAGATGTTAAATCGAGAGGAGAATAAATGAATCTGCCTGTCTGGGGTTTATTCTACACTCAGACTTGGAAACATTTTTTAAGATAGTTGATTAAAACTTCAGTCTGGGACGGGGGAGGACGAGAAAAACAGGCACTGGCCCTTTAAAAGAGGGAAAACCTGCTGGATGAGAATAAAGACGAAGAGCCGGGTGAATGAAATGTGATGCGAGCTACTCACCACCACCGACACACACATGGCAGACATGGTCCTGCTGGAAGAGACGAGGATGCTGCGGTCCTTGCTTGTTGTCTGCTGGAGAAACACTTCTCATCACTAGATGTTTCTCATCCTCCTCCTTCCTCCTCCTTCCTCCACCTCCTCCTCCTCTCGCTGGAGGAGAGCAGCTGATGCAGCGTCAGGCTCTACCGCAGTGTCTCACACCGGTCTGCGGCTCCAGGTGCGCGGGTTTCGGCCTCAGGTAGTCCCTCATGAGGGCCTGGTTTACGCGGAGCGCCGCGGTGTGTGCCATAGCGCTGACGGATGAGGGCCACTGTGGGGCCACCGCCTCTCCCCGGTCCTGTGCTGATCTGTGCGGGCTTCTCTCGGCGCAGCGCGGCTTCCTCCCTCTGTCTGTGTGCGGCTCTGCGGAGCTCACCGCCGCGGTGACGTAGGGCAGAATGGGGGGGTGGGTGGGGGGGGTGGGGGAGCTGGTGAAGTGACGCAGCCAATGGCGGCGCCAGGAAGAGCGACGCACGTGTGTAGGACCCTGGTTGCATGTATACATATATATAYATATATATATATATATATACATATACATATATATAGAGAGAGAGAGACATTTCAGGGTTTGCCACTTGTGTTTTATTTTTGTCCAAATAACAAAGACAAAAGGGTTTAGTGTAATTCTTCTTATTATCAGGATTTTTAGATGAATGCATAGGCCTATATGGATGGATGGAAGGATGGAAGGATAGATATGCGGATAGATAGATGGATAGACAGATAGATGGATATGCAGATAGATAGATAGATATGTGGATAGACAGATAGATAGATAGATATGTGGATGGATGGTTAGATAGATATGCGGGTGTATAAATAGACGGATAGGCAGAAGGATGGATGGATGGATAGATATGTGGATAGATAGATCAATAGATATTTGGATGGATGGATAGATATGGCAGGTGTGGATGAGCGGTACAGCGGTCATCCTCCAATGAAGGTCGGTGGTTCGATCCCAGTCTTCCCCATCGGCATGCCGAGGTGTCCTTGGGTAAGATGTTGAACCCTGAATGGCTCCTCATAGAAAAAAGTGCTGCTAATAGATGCACTGTATGAATGTGTGTGTGAATGGGTGAATGGCAAACTGTAAAGTACTGTACTGTAAAGCACTTTGAGTGGTCATCAAGACTAGAGAGTTGTATATTTCCATATGCAGACAGACAGATAGACAGACAGACAGATAGATAAACAAGTACTCCTCCATGCAAGTTAGTCATGGAGTTCCATAAGGTTGTGTCCTTATACTCTTCACCTTAAAGATATCCCCTTATAGGCAACATCATCAGATGCACCATGTACACTTCCATTGTTACATATCTGTGAATTCTGATGAATCTGATCACTTAGTTCAACTTCAGGAATGTCTCAAGAACATTAAGGATGACCCAGGACTTAAGACGGCCTGTGTTCTCCAGGGTTCTCTCCAAGTGGAACATGAGGGTTAAAAGATGTAGGGTAAGATGTCATGAACAAGCCTCAGATTTATTTTTCTCCCCTGCACACTTACAGTTTTCATGCTCTGTGTGTCATCTCACCTTGTGTAAATGGAAATCAAACTGTATTTATGCTTGTTAGAGTTTCTTTCTCTATCTGAGCCATTTGCATTGATGATTATGTTTGATGTAAGCAAGTCATCCTCAAAATAAATCAGATTCAGCTTTCATTTGTGTAATTCTCCGATTTTAACCCGTGTCACACAAGTGTCAGCATCACAGCATTCTCAATGCACTTTGCTGTTCTCAGTAATGGAGCTCAACGTACAGTCTGAATCAGCCTTTTTGATCCCTTGCTCTAAATTATAGCTTCACAAACAGCCTGCCAACCTCCCTGGGAGGGATAAAAACACAGATGCACTGAACTGCCCTTTGAACTACTGTAATCTCATGTGCTACTGTTGACATTTCAATGCTATTGAATGTGAAAAAGACATCAGGATTTTTGATTCGACTTGAACTGGCAAACTGGCCAATTTTGAACCACTAGTCATTAGAACCTGAATTTCCAAACTCCAACTAAAAGGGGGCAGAAATGCTATGATGGCAATTTTACACATACTGTAAAACTGCATTAGTTGATATATTTGACCACTTGAGGGCAGCACAACAAGCAGTAAGAACAACAATAACAGAGAACCATTGAGTCACTGCTGAAAGAAATGTCTGTATTTTTATCTCTGAATGCTTCACTATCTTCACCACTATAGTTTCTAATGTAGTCCGTCTGCCATGTGATGTGGTTAGCAGAAAACGGGGTTGATGAGAGTACGACTGAACCAAAACACTGAATCTGAAAATCAATAAACAGATTAGTTAACTCTAAAAATGGAATATGTGCCTGGGGGCTTGTTTCTGGGTGAGCAGGAAAAGCATAACAAGCATGACAATGTTAAGGTGGTTTAAAAGAGGTTGGAGGGGGTTGTTGGCTTTTTAACATCAGAGATTAAAGTTTATTCTGTCAGTTTCTTTTTGATGGCACTCTTTCCCATAAAGCACTAGTTTAAGAATTTTGGGAAATGCCCTTAATTCTCTTTCTAGATGAGAATATGATATACTATTGAGTATATGTGCTTTCAACATGACATTTAGTTAGCCAGTTTAGTCAACTTAGCATTAAATGGAGGAACAGCTTGTCTCTGTCCATTTTGTTTTGGTTTTAAAGCATAGGCAGATAAGACAGTGGTTTACGTTTGAAGGTCTTCCACAGTTTGAGTGGAGTGTCCAACCACTAGCAGATGTCAGATAACATCCCATCAGCTCCTCTAATGCTCTCTTAATTCACTGTCTCAGTAGGTCTATCCATTAAAAGGTTTAAATGGGACTAATACTAACTTCGTTTGCTCAGATTGCTAAAAAACAAGGGAAACAAGGAGCTGTGGTTTGCAGTCATGTTCCAAGACAACATGTCCAACTAATGCAACAGATTGCAATGGGATACATTGCAATTGCAGTTGTCTATTTGGTTAAATCCATTGCATCCATTATTTAAAATGTATTGTTGCCTAAACCTTTTTTTTTTAACAAACCAAAGAATGAGTAAAATGTGCAAAAAATAACATATTTCATGAAAAATA